TTTAAGACGTTATCAAACGTTTCTTGCTGAACAATGCAATAGAACGTAAACATTTGCCGAGTAGATACATGTTTAAAGGTTATCATTTTTGTTTGGATTTTTTCTTTTCTGATTTTCATTGTAGACGTGCAGTATTTTTTTTTTATTTACTAATATTAATATCTTTTTACCCGAACAAATACTAAAAGTGATGGAATATAACCTACAAATTTTTAATTTATATAAAATGCTGATGTATAATACATAAAGCATTGTTCTATTGTTGCTTTACCTGTTGAACTAGATATATTCCCGTTATTGCCAACGGAATTCAGCAGAAGCCGTTTTGTTTTGTCTATGCGGGAACTTTGTGCCATTTTGATCTCTAGCTTCTCGTTCTTACGATGGAGGCGGTTTACTTCATTCTTCAGAGCCCTTAAGTCTTGTCGAAGCTGCCTGATTTCTTCCGAATGTAGCATATCATGCTCGTTACATTCTCGCCCCAAAGTTGAAGCGAAACAAAGTAAGAAAACAAATGCTAGCATCTGGCAACTGAAACCCATTGTGAGGTTCTATATAATTGAAAAATTCCTTTCACTGTAGATAAGATATTTTAGGTCACAATAATACAGTATCAATGTTCTCTGTATGTTTTGCTGTATTTATCATAATGACACTAACATATACATTGTAAATATATTTCCCCACCATGTATTCTTAATTATTTATTATTTTTTTATAAGTACATACTCAATTTTCCTGAAGATGTTATATTATTAATCCTGCGTATTAAGGCGAACATTCAAATAATAATCATGTACATGTACCTCATAAATTTAGCCCTTTAATGAGGTCGATCCAAAAATATATCGACTTAAAAGAAAGTGTGCAAAAATCTTTAACCCTGCCCACATCACTGTTCATTGACAGGCATTACCGTTGAGTAGATTTTGATTTTTAAAATTTTTACACTGAATTTTCTGCATAACAGTTTAAATATGTTTTACATTTATTTATTCTTAGTTGATGCACTTTAACATTATTAATTGGAATTCTCATAGACATTTCCTTATCAATACACCGTATGTTATCACTTCCATAAATACACGAATGATCTGCATGACAGCTCCTGATCAAGGCTAAAGTCTTTGAAAAGTAGATAAACTCGAAGGCAAGGTCAGCAAGTCAACATTATTGGTTTCCAGAGTAAGATTTTGTACTAAGAAAAAAACTCACGAAAGCGTCATGAAAGCATGAGCCTTCATTAATTAGAAGCCTAGGTAAGGATTAAGGGAGGCAAAACTTTAATCTTACGGGGTTTAAAATATTGCTTCCATTTTCACAGGAAATTCACAAATATATTATAAAATATTAAAGCTCTATCAACAACCATTCAAAAGCTATTGGAAATGTATTTAATACGGATATACACATAAAGCAGACCCAACATATAAATTTCTATTGATCTCTCATTGCTTCGACCATGGCGACCAATTAACATTATATGATATGCAAGAGCATACTTTACGTATTATGTACAATTTCATAAACGAGTTAGCTTTTTGACAAACAAGTTAATGAAACAAGAATGGTAACAGTCTCGATTAAGCCCATTCCCGGCAGTCACGCATTTTCACGCATTTACTATTTCCTATTTCTAACGCAAAATCACGCATATACCGTATCATCGCAATAACGCATTTTTCACGCTCTTTCAAAAGTAAATATAATCTTCGACATACTACCGATTCCCTTCTTTTTAATACCTGCTAAAATCTCAGAAAACAAGCATTCTGAGAGTATTGCATAAGCAATACATGTCCCCTACCGGGTTCCCCTTTTTCTTCAGGATGTCATTTTATATGCAAAAGTTATATCCAAGGTAAAACTGCATATTTTTTTTAGGTCGTGAATGCCTTAAACCTAATAAAATAATCCACAATGACATCAAGACGAAAATTCAACTCATTTTTTCCAACGTTTTCTACTCGCTTCATATTTATGTCGACCATCGGAAGTTAGCGCAGCACGAACCCGATCTTAATTAAACGAATGCAAAAAATTCAAAATGCCATAATTCTGTCAAAAATTAATGAAGCGATGCAAAATTCAAACTTGATCTGTAACTCATCAAGATACACTCACATAACAAAATTCAGCTCAATATCTGCAAGCGTTTAGAAAAAAAGTGCGGAAAACCAAGTGGGACAGACTGACAGACAGACGGGGACAGACAGACAGACGGACAGACGGACGGACGGACAGACAGACAGACGGACAGACGCAGAGGAAACCTATAGTCCCCTCCGGTTTCACCGGTAGGGGACTACTAAGAACGTTCATGATATTATCGAAACATATTTACATCCATTGAATAGTTTCTACTTTATTTCTTAAGAAAACCTATTGCCCTTAATCAGTGCATTAACAACACTAACCATATCACCTGTATTGATTCTTTGATCAGCGGCTGTTCCATCAATGAAACGTACAAAGATGTATATATAATTAATACAATAATTAATCCTTCTTAATACTGAACTAATCTTAATGATTATTTAAACAAATATAAATATGAACAAAAAATGTCTTTCGTTGGTTTTTAGTACGGGAATGAACGTTGTATCTATTGCAGAAAGCGTAAGCGGGCTAGGTATTTTTTCTGCATGAGTTGCGACATCATTCCCGAACTAAGAACCAAAGAAAGCATTTTATTGCTAAACTACTGGCATAATTACATATGCATAACTTTACATAAACGTGTACCGATCTAAAAAGTGCCTGCGGGGAAAAGGTACTAATGTCATATTTCTATGACGTGAACATTTAGTGTATGCTGCGTCATAGTTCAGTAAATTTTAAGAGTTAAAATCGCCATTTCGTAAGTTCTGTGGTAGATACAATGATCTTATCAACAAATACAATTTATTATTAGGTCAAATGCTGATTGACATTTGCCATGCTAATTGTTAGGTAATTATTTACACACTGGAATGTCGACGGCTTTTTCCGTTATTTCCCGATCATGATAAGGATGATAATTAAGGAGCACACTGCAATCTGGATGTTTATAAAGATGGTAACCCCATAAAGCCTCCAATATGCATTTGAATCCCGACTATATAATAAATTAATTGTTTAGCAATATGCATCAAGATAAAATCTAATTGACATTATTCCGGAATTCTTCCGTTATCTAGGGTTTTCAATTCCACACAATTGAATGGTTGCAAATCCATGTAAGCTAAACATGGACAACATTTTTTTATTTAGAATTCACATGATTATGCTAGTTTACTGTACATTTTTTTCTGTGTTAGAAATTTCCGAACAACTACTTTCTGTGAATGACTTGTTGTTGGATATGCCAATTTTTGTCTTCTTCGTTTGTCTTGATTCAAAGGAGAACTGACAGGTCCTTCTTCTATGTGGAAAGTTTCATTCTGAGTTTGAACGGCCTCAAAGTCCTCATCTGCAGTACGTGTATGATCGATTTGAATTTGCGCACACTTTTCCGGTTTTCGCTGGACTCCTTTTTTCCGAGTTGGTTGATTTCTTCTTTCTGGTGAAGGGCTTCATTCCGCAATGCCGCTATCTCCATTCGCAGTGTCCAAATGTCGTCTGAACAGGATTTATTTGGTGCACCATGGTTTTCCGGGTCCTCGGGTTCTCTTACGATTTGTAGCTAATAAAAGAAAAAAGAACCACAATCTTAATGATCGCCATATCTGTTTTGATTCGTAAAAAATATTAGATAATCCTAATTCACAATGTAATCACATAAAGTCCTTGATAAGTATTGAAAAGGATGCATAGTTTATATGATCTACTGTAAAAAGTCCTTGATTTGTCTTCCAAACAAACATAGTTACATGAAACAATATTTCCACTTCTTATTTGTGTCTCTGTGATAACTCTTTGAAACTTAGCGGAGTTAATCTCTTGATAATTCTACTGGAATGTAAATTAGGCAGGTCAAAAGGTCATGAGCTAAGGAGGCCTAATATGCATGCAAATCTCGTGCGCATCTGTCTCTGTGTCTGAGGCTAAGGAGGGCAAATATTCATGAAAATCTCGTGCGGCTGCCTTTATGTTTGACGATAGTGGGCGAGGGCTATGGAAATTGGCAAGGGAGTCCTCGCGTAATTTAGATCTATATCTACAATTTAAAATATAAATCTACAATTTTATTTCACAATGAAATGAAAATATAAGGAATCACTGTCTAGTTCGTATAGTATGCCAGGGACATCAACAATAGTGGGAAACATGGGATAATTTATGCATCACGGGCTTCGCCCGTTATACAAATTATCCCATGTTTCCCACTATTGTTGATGCCCTGGCATACTATACGAACTTAGACAGTGAATCCTTAAATATACAAACATTCACATCGTTCTTTCATCGGCACTTCTTAACTTTAGGCAAGACTAATGAACAAAGTGTAATCAATGGTCGTAGCAACCGAGGGGTGCCCCGAGTTAATTTGCCAGTATATGGAATACTATTTAAAATGCGCTTGTTTCCCCTCATCAAATAATCTGTTGACTTTTTTTCTCACGACATTTATGTTTGTTGAGAGTGCCCCCAACTGTTAATGTTAGGCTGACACCCCTCCCCCTTCCTTTAAAAAGGAATTTGCTACCTCGGATCCTTTAAGATTACGGATGTTTATCATATCAGACGTTAAGGGGAATAATACATACAAAGGTCGATAACAGTTTTTGTAATTCAACATTTTTCACAAGGTTTTAATTTTCGACTTATTACAATGTAGAGTTTATGTTTATGATCATATAAATGTTTGTTCCTCTTTTTAAAAAAAACCCATGTTTTTATTGTCTAAATTTGTCAGAATTTAAATTGTGATAACAATTAAAATTAGATTAGATTAAATTTAATGATTTCATTTTACTTTTAAATAATCCGGAACACAAGTTCTTATGATCCCACGTACATATTATGGGGCACATTCTTATCTCTTTTTATCAACAATATTCCGTCTTTATGCATAACAAAAGGATTTCCTCGCCATTTCAGATAAGTTATGAACGTTCCAAAGATTTTAATTATTTTCTCTGTCTTTGGCTACATCAAATCCGAGGATGATGCGGAAACAGTTGAAAATTGCTCCGAAGATATTCGGGCATTACGAATGGAGTTAGCAACACTGCGAGGAGAGGTCTTAAATCAGAAAGAGGAAATCAAAGAACTCAGAAAGGAATTGGCAAGAAAACCTGACAGGAGCGAGTGTTTGCAAACTGTTAATGCTGCAGAAAATTTTAAAGAGTCGGTCCAAACTCCGAGTGAAATCCTCAAATCCCCTAAAACGGACGAAGGTTCGCGTAAATCTCCAAAAAACCATGACCGATCGAGAATAAGTCGATCATTAATCAATCCAGCACCAAGAAGTTCACAGTCAGCAGGTAATAGTAAACTATCATTCCAGTAACAGCGTGTCATTTTGCTTGATTACCACATTACTCATCACTCGGATGTTTGATTTTAATGGAATCAATAATAGTTTGTATATAAAATACAGACTCCAGCAATACCACATACTATACGGACAAATCGTACTGATTGTTTACGAGAATGCAGTAAACAAAAACCACATGTGGACAGGCAAAGCAAGTTTTTTAATCGTAAAAATGATGCCATTGAAAATATAAATATAATACAATTGTTAGCTTCTGAAGATTGAAAATAAAACCGCTAAAGCTTAACTAAGGGTTTTTGTGTTTTCTCTTCATAGTTTTAAATACAATATATGTATAGTATAATAGTTACAATTAAAGTATTGCCTTACTAACTTATTTCATGCTTTAAAGTTTCTTATACGTATTACAATTAACCCCATTCGGTCAAATCACAGCATATATGACGCGTGCTTTTTTATGATAGTAAAAGGGCTTGACTAACCACGTGTTGCAGTTGACTACAAATGTCGCGCTGAAACCAATCATTCAAAATCATTGGCCAAAGGTTTTGCTAATAGGTTATGTGTTTCGTATGCAAAGTAACATTAATTTTTTTCATTCCAATCAAACATCCAATCGATGAATAATATGGTAATCTATCTGTGAATTTTTACAACGGTCAGTCAAGCAAAGAAACACGCTGTTATTATAAGGATAGTATTCAGCATTCAGACTGAGTTACAATATACATTTGATTGAAATGTCAAAATGCTTTGTCGGACAATAGATTCTAGTGTCGACATAACGTATTTTGCCCGAGAACACAGCTATTGAATATTTTGTTTTACCTTTCATTTTCTTTTTATATACATGTATCTTGTACTACATATATCTTCTGTGGTGTGACATGATGTTTAACTTGGTCAGTTCCGTAACTGGCGAACACCAAAAATCTAAGCGAAATTGAACTCACATCGTGTAACATACGTGGTCCAACATCTACTCAACCGGTCTAACATCTCATTCAGCTGTCAAACATCGATTTTTTTAATATCGCCCAGTAAACATAACAGATATTGAATCATATTTGTATAACGGTATGTGGAAAATTTATATGTATAAAGCGCAAAATGTTAAATATATATTTTTCTTAAGCTGAAAAAAAAACTTAATGTGATGTAATGTATAGTTACATGTACGTAGCATTAACACCCTTCCCCGCAGTCACGCATTTTAATGCATATACCATTTCCTATTTCTAACGCAAAATCACGCATTTACCGTTTCCCCGCAATCACGCATTTTCACGCACTTTAAAAAGTTCAATTAATCTTCAATTTATTGCCAAATTCCAACTATTTTATACTTGCTTGAATCTCATAAATAAGAAAAGTTATTTTCTAATTAAAATATTATTTCAGAATATTATTTTCGCTAAACTTTAGAGAAATGTGTACGCCGCTATAAAGTGCTTGCGGGGAAATGGTAAAGTAATATTTCTATGACGCAAGGATTCAATGTATGTTGCATAGCAATTCTGTAGGTTGTAAAGAGTTAACAGATAATGTTTTCGTTTTTATGAGATAAACTTGACCAAAAAAGACACTTTTAAGCATAATACCCGATATTTTACCTACATGACAAAAATATGCGAAAGTTCTAAGCAAATGTCAATTACAATAGCTGTTCAGATATGTTTTAGTAAATAAAATTTAGTTTACTCTTACGAAATATTCAATAGCATCGATAAGATTGTCATGTACATTGTAGGACCGATTTTGAAAACAAAAATAAACTGTTTAAGGGTTAATACATATAGTAATTTATAGAACGTTGTTTTGCCCTCAAAAATCACTTATATCATCAAAGCTATGCCAGAGGGTTTCAACGCTTTTGATTCTCAAGACAATTTAGAATTAAGGTTATTTATCGTGTCAACGTAAACCATAACATCAACCTTGCTTTTCAACTGTCTTTTTAAAAATTCCTGACTTCCACTTCTAATGCTTGAAATTTGGTGAAGAAAAATAACTATCTATGTTTACGTCTTTGGTATCTAACCAGGGTTACAAGTGAATACCAAATTACTAATGGTCAGATTGAAATATGAAGAGAGAAATGGAAAAAAAGAAATAAATAACTTACTAGTTATTCTTTAGAAAAGGAAAAGAATATTCTTACAAAATGGAACTGATTGTTTTAACATAGCAGTTTACAAAACGTCCCTAAAATATGTTTCGATTCTTACAGGCATTTTACCAAGAATAGCTTTCCATGCCAATTCTCCAACTGATAACACAAACCTTGCTGTTCATCAAAACCTGAACTTTGGAAACGTTATCTCTAACGTAGGAAACAAATATCACCATGCGACAGGAATCTTTATTCCCGACGTTTCCGGAATGTACGTGTTCTACGTGCAAATAATTTCATGCAGTAATGGACATGAGGTTAAAACTGAAATTATAGTAGAAGGTGTCAGTAAAGGTGGCCACTACGCATACAGTCCTACAGGTTGCGCAAATGGAGGGGGGATGACCATCGTCCACGTTAATGCAGGAGACTCCGTCTGGGTTCGACTCTCAGTATCAGATGGAACGAATCACTTTGGTTGGGAGAGCAGCTTTTCTGGATTTTTGTTGTATGCCGATGAATAAAATCGAATGGAAGCCTGTTCGCTTTTCTGCGTATTGTATCAGTTTTATTTGAGGGTATATGCACTTATTCATTGTTAAAGTGTCTTCATAAGAGCTTTCATGAGATAAACAGGTGATTTCTCAATAGTCTAATACGCTACAATACAACATACATGTATATATCGAGGGGTATATTCTGGGCACAATGAAGGGATAATATTTTCACAAGAATAATATTTTCATATCCATGAATTTATGTGACAATAAGACTTAAGGTCAAGACTTAGTAAATGAAAGGTGCCTACAGATTTATCAAACTTGAGAAATAAATTTCTTTATTGATGCTTTACAACTTTAGCTTGGTCAAATAAGGTGTTTCGGGGCATGATTTGTAGGTAAACAAGATGGTAAAACTGTATTTTAAACTGTCATTTTCAATGAAAAATAAAGAAACCCAGTCATGAATATGGGAGATTTTTTCGCATTCGGCAAAGGAAATGTATCCAGATTGCCTACAGTCTCTCAGAAAACGGTAATTAGTATGTTCATGGCCTCTTCTTTAAATCTATATCAAAGTTAATATAGGTATCCGGTTTACTTTTCATATGATTTTGAATTGAATGACATGAAAATACCCTATTTTAAACATAATTCTACTAAAGCCGTAAAGTACGGGAAAGCAAAAGTTGAAATTGATTATGACGTCATAATGGATCCAGCACTAAAAAGTCAGTCCCAAGTTATTTACTAGATCTTGACCTTGAAAGTAGTTACACGATACTTAAGTCAAACGTGTTTAATGAGTTTTGGGACATATTGGTCAAGAAAGTACGTGGCGTTAAAAAAAGTGGAACAATGGAAGCATAGAAGAAACAGAGGGTTTTCGCCAGTGAACATAAGAAAATTTCAGTATACCTGGCCAGAACTTGTGATAAGACGCAATGAGACGCTATGATAAGGCATAAGACGAACCCTCCCTGGCAGCAGGGATGCTGGAAGCTGGCAAAACCTCAAGTTTAACTTTGTAAATAATATGATGGAAGGTATATAACTGCATTCAATTCTGTCAGCAACACAAATCTACATTTATTTGAAAACATTTAAATTTCCAACTGTTCCCTCTCGACAAGTCTTTAAAAGAAAAGTTTGTTGACTTCTCAATATTTACTGCTGAATGTAAAGGGGCAGGTTCACTAACTCCATAGAATCGCCCTTTCAATATATCAATTAACGGACCAAGTTCTATCATCTCCTATCGAACATCGACATAAAGTAGAGAATTGATGCGATTATTTCTTATAAAAAGAGTCAAGTTTGGAAACTTGGGCTTTGTGAAACTGCAATGTTCTTGAATTTTGAAGAAAATGAGTGAAATTGAGCATCTTCAACTATTGATTAAAATATAAGCCGAAACCCGATCCATTTTTTTTTTCATGAATTCAAGTCTTCTAAAAGACTTTTTTCATTGTATAATGACACAGTAAAGATTAGAGGTTTAGGTCTATGTAAAATATTTAAAAACAACTTAAATGTCTGGCCAGTTTTAAAGAAATTCTCAAGATTTGAGGACGTCATAATACTTTGGCAATAGATATAAATTCCGTCATATTTATTTGACATGAAATCAGTTAGGGTCCAAGTGAAATTTTACAGATGTTTAAGTGTATCTGAACAGTTCTGACTTTTCAGAAATTCACAGGGCCTAAAATGGTCCAAAATGAACCTTGCATCACCAAGTGAATGACGCTCAATACGAATGTCAATTTCCAGTGGATGTCTTACGTCAGTGTTGGGGACAAAAGAAGTAGGCATGGAATGGTTCGTGAATAAGAAATCTATTTGAAAGAATTTGTGTTATATAACAAAGTAAAATTTTTTCTTCATTTATGAACAGTGTCCGCTGAAAGTTTCGAAGTTAGGAATTGGTCAATACGTCGTGGTTTTGAATTGGGAGATCGGATGAGTTCGTGTAGCAGTAGTGCTGGGACGAAAAATGTCCTTCACTTCTCAATGACAGTAAGTGCCGACTTAAAGACATAATTTGCACATCTCAAACGGCAAGTGGTGGCGTCTCCATATAAGTGAAGAATCGAATGAAAATAATAAAAATTCTCGAGAAGGACGTTAAACAATATACGAGGGTTGTCCCAAAAAGTTTTAGACAAGGAAAACAATTTAGTTTCTCTTTGCTTAATTAAAGTTTTCCCTTGTCATAGCAAAAGTACCATTTTATTATCAGGCATTTTAAGTTTCAAAATGATATCCCATTTAAGAAGAAAATTATGAAAAAATAAAGAAAGCATGTTAGTGTACAAAGGCGCACGAAACCAAGCGTAAATAACGTCTCTCATAACGTCATGTTCTCTTCTTCTGCTTCACACATAAAGATGAGCATTCGATACTTTTTCAAGAGAAAGACCATGCTTGACAAATGGACTCATTAAAATTCGCTAGAGTAACTGTCCCATTTTTGTCCTCGTACAAAGACAAAAATCCTACAAATTAATGCAAATAAAAGGAATCATGGCCTGGTTTTGGTGTATGGCAGGGACATCAACGAATTGGAATTGTAAAATAATTAGATTTGAATATATTTAATATCGAATATTTATTGAAACAGTTTTTATTCATATTTACAACATATACAACATAAACCCAGAAAAAGAGGAGGTAGAGTAAATTGTTGAGGTAGAACTACGGCTATCAATCCAAGCATAATCTCCCGCTGACATTCTTGCGACAGCCATTTTACTGCATGACATACGTTTAGAATTACTTTTAATGTGACAAAAGTTGTCTATTCTTTTGCCGGTTAAAACTAAGGAGCTGTATCCGTCTTTATCTATGTCTATAACGATTGTCGAAGTAAATATATACACCCCTGGATTTGGTGCGCTGAAAAGTCCATTTTTAGCATTGTAACTACCTCCTATATTCAGAACGACTTCCTCAAACACTATTGCTGAATAGACTTTCTGAGAACTTTTCTTGATTCTAGCCTCAAATGCTACCATCATGTTTCCTGTAAGTAAATAGTTAATGTGTAGTGTATGGACGCATGAACTCAGTTCAGGTTTTAAGATTTTGCTTCTTACTTCTGTTCTTGGTTGTTTTTGCAGTGACACTTTATGTAGCCAATAGCTTTGCATCTTTAAGCGATATTATAATTGTCGAAAGATTTAAGATCAGGCCTGGGTGAAACGTTCTCTTTAGCACTGATGCCAATTATTGCCCCTAATCCCACTGCAAACACTATGAAATGCATTCTAAAAAGTATAATAAACAATGGAAAATATCTTTAATGGTTCATATGTTTAATAATTATTATATGCTTAACATATGAATAACGTTTCTTAAAGCATGCTCTAAGCAAGGTAATGATAATTGCTATATTTTTATAAAGTAGTCTCTGCGCTTAAAATGATATTGATAAATTCCTATCAAATATAACTGCCGTTTGACTGATTTTTAGCTCACCTGAGCTGAAGGTTCAAGTGAGCTTTTCTGATCACATTTTGTCCGTCGTCCGTCCGTCTGTCCGTCCGTCCGTCTGTCCGTCTGTCCGTCCGTCCGTCTTTCTGTCTTTCTGTAACGCTTTCGTTTCCACACGATATCTCGAGAACCCTTTGAGCTTTTGCTATGAAATTTAGCATAGCAACTCCTTGTGGCCTAAGGAAGACCCCTATTGATTTTGTGGTCAAAAGGTCAAAGGTCAAGGTCATAAATAAGCAAATTCTGTCTGTTATAACACTTTCGTTTCCACACGATATCTCTAGAACCATTTGAGCTATTGCAATGAAATTTTACATAACAACTCCCTGTGGCCTAAGGAAGACCCTTATTGATTTTGAGATCAATAGGTCAAAGTTCAAGGTCGTAAATCTATACATTCTGGCTGTGTGTAACACTATCATTTCAGGGCGATATTTCAAGAAGATTTTGAGCTTATGATATGTAATTTTATACCAAAACTCCCTAGGACCTCTCTCACCCCTCTCAAAGTGCCCGCCCCGTTTGTTTTATTAGTATTTATATAGTATTACATGTCGCTATTTTTAGCACAGGGACATGCAGAGAGTTATTGCGTATAAAACAGGTTCTCGGCGGAATTTCTGTTCTTAATACATCTATTAGAACCGTTTCATAAAGGCTAAATAAATAAAACACCACGGATTGTGTAAAATTTTGACAATACCGAACATGAATGTATACATGTATGTGACTTGACTTCTGCATATACTTACCGACAATTAAAGCGATTCCGTGGTCTAGTGGTATGTCTCTCGCTTCACATGTGAGAGGTCCCGGGATCGAGTCTCAGGCGATCCTTTTTTTCTAAACTTTTCTTTTTTTTAATGATAGTATTCAGCATGTGAAAAGAATAATTTATGAGGTTATAAAATAATCATTACAGTGTGATAAATATTCCATATAAAAAGAATCTTCTATACACATGAAAAAGAATAAGCAATCAAATCTTTATAAGCATATTGACATACATGTATTTTATTTCCTTCAGTATACATGTACACATTTAATAATTCTACAAATTCAGTCAGGGGGATCCGACTTTTTCCCTAAGCGGGGGACACAAATTCTCTGAATTAGCTTGTTTTTATTGCAATGACATTTATTTAATTTTCATTTTTTTTATCGTTATAAAAAAAACAATACTTTGATTGGAAATAGTTACTTTAAGACCCTGGGGTACCACATGTAATTTAGATGATAAAAAGAAACGTAAGTTGCATATAAAGCAAGTCTGTGGCAAAATTTTCCAAGTATAGAGGAAGGCCTTCAAAAATGGAGAATAAAAAAATCCCTAATCTTCCCAAAAAACATTAAAGAAATATTTAACTTCTCTGGTTTCTTACTAGATGGAATATTCAAAGTATATTTGTTGATATGTCATATATTTAGATGTAAGAGGTTTAAAAGACCATATTTTTCTTTCTTCATCACAATTAAACAACTTGAAATAGAAATGGTAAACTGCGTTTGAAAACTAGCAGGGATTATATTTTTGGCTTAA